TCTACTGTTCATAAGTACTCACATACTTATATATATTTTTTCTTTTATATAGCTGTTTGTACCCCATCATATTATAACCTGTTCATAGTCTGTACACACACAAAATGTATATATTTATACCTATAGCATATTCAAAGCAACTTACTGTATATTGTACTATATATATCTACTAATTTATTTTTCTTACTAAGCACTTCTGGATAGATGCAAACTGCATTTCATTGTTTTGTACCCGTGACGTGCAATGACAATAAAGTTGAATTCTATTCTATTCTATTCTATATGTGCTCTTGGCGCTAGGACACCCTAGGCCACAGTTCGATGATTGACTTTGTCATAGTCTCATCTGATCTGCGGCCACATGTCTTGGACATTCGGGTGAAGAGAGGGGCGGAGCTGTCCACTGATCACTACCTGGTTGTTAGTTGGCTCCGATGGTGGGGGAAGATGTCGGTCAGACCTGGCAGACCCAAACGTATTGTGAGGGTTTGCTGGGAACGTCTGGCAGAGTCTCCTGTGAGACGGAGCTTTAACTCTCACCTCCGTGAGAACTTTGATCATGTTCCAGGGGAGGTGGGGGACATTGAGTCCGAGTGGGCCATGTTCTGTGCCTCTATTGTCGAGGCGGCTTACCGGAGCTGCGGCCGCAAGGTTGTCGGTGCCTGTCGCGGTGGAAACCCTCAAACCCGATGGTGGACACCGTCGGTAAGGGTTGCTGTCAGGCTGAAGAAGGAGTCCTATCGGGCCTTTTTGGCCTGTGGGACCCTGGAAGCAGCTGATGGGTACCGGCAGTCTAAGCGACATGTGGCTCGGGTGGTCGCTGATGCAAAAACTCGGGCATGGGAGGAGTTCGGAGAGGCTATGGAGAATGACTTCCACACGGCTTCGAGGTGATTCTGGTCCACAATCCAGCGTCTCATGGGGGAAAGCGGTACACCACCAACACTGTTTATAGTGGGGGTGGTGTGCTGCTGACCTCCACTCAGGATGTCGTGGGTTGGTGGGCAGAATACTTTGAAGACCTCCTCAATCCCACCGGCACGTCTTCCACTGAGGAAGCGGAGCCTGGGGACTATGGCCTGGGGACTATGGGGCGGGCCCTCCAATCTCTGGTGCTGAGGTCACCGAGGTGGTTAAAAAGCTCCTCGGTGGCAGGGCCCCAGGGGTGGATGAGATTCGCCCAGAGTTCCTTAAGGCTCTGGATGTTGTAGGGTTGTGTTGGCTTACACGACTCTGCAATATTACGTGGACATAGGGGGAAGTTCCCCTGGATTGGCAGACCGGGGTGGTGGTTCCCCTATTCAAAAAAGGAGACCGTAGAGTGTGTTCTAACTACAGGGGGATCACACTCTTAAGCCTCCCTGGTAAGGTCTATTCGGAGGCTCTGGAGAGGAGGGTCCATTGGATAGTCGAACCTCGGATTCAGGAGGAGCAGTGCAGTTTTTGTCCTGGTCATGGAACACTGGACCTGCTCTACACTCTCAGCAGGGTCCTGGAGGGTGCGTGGGAGTTTGCCCAACCGGTCTACATGTGCTTTGTGGACTTGGAGAAGGCGTTCGACCGCATCCCTCGGGGAACCCTGTGGGAGGTACTCTGGGAGTATGGGGTATTGAGCCCTTTGATACGGGCTGTTAGGTCCGTGTATGACCGGTGTCAGAGCCTGGTTCACATTGCCGGCAGTAAGTCGGGCTTGTTCCCAGTGAGAGTTGGACTCCGCCAAGGTTGCCCTTTGTCACGATTCTGTTCATAACTTATGGACAGAATTTCTAGGCGCAGCCAAGATGTTGAGGGGATCCGTTTTGGTGGCCTTAGGATTGCATCTCTGCTTTTTGCAGATGATGTGGTCCTGTTGGCTTCATCAGATCGTGATCTACAGCTTTTGCTGGAGTGGTTCGCAGCCGAGTGCGACACGGCCGGGATGAGGATCAGTTCCTCCAAATCCGAGGCCATGGTCTTGAGCCAGAAAAGGGTAGAGTGCCCCCTCTGGGTCAGGGAGGAGGTCCTGCCCCAAGTGGAGGAGTTCAAGTATCTTGGGGTCTTGTTCACCATTGAGGGAAAAATGGAACGTGAGATCGATAGGTGGATAGGTGCAGCGTCTGCAGTGAAGCGGGCACTGTACAGGTCTGTCATGGTGAAGAGAGAGCTGAGTCAAAAGGCGAAGCTCTCAATTTACCAATCGATCTATGTTCCTACCCTCATCTAAGGTCATGAGCTTTGAGTTGTGACCGATTCAGGTAAATTTCTTCTGTCTAAATTTGACCACAGCTCGCCCCAATATTATCATATTTTTATTTTATTTATACTCACTTCAATTCAATTCAGTTTATTTATTTAGCGCCAAGTCACAACAGAAGTCATCTCAGGGTGCTGAACAGAACTCACACCAGTGTGAAAATTAATTTCTCTGATTCATCAGCTTCACGTAAAATTATAAAAGAATGCCTTTGTATTTTTCCATTTTTCTTGTGCTTTTTTTAATCATACGCTTGTTGAAAGATGGTCGTATTGGCATAATCTCCATCTGTACTTCTGTAAACTTCCTTCTTTTCAGACCATAACTTCTGCTCTGCTCAAGTCAATTTAATGAAACTTGATAAATATATTCGTATTCACTGGACAGAGAATCACCTATACTTTTCACCACCCCAGCTTCAAGGTCATGGTCACAAATCAAAGTTATACAAGGTGCTTGTCCGAGCCATAGCTATAAATATCTGTTTTGCTATATAATAGTTTTTTGATGGGCATATAATGTGCCTTATGCTGTACCCTTGTGTTTACAAAACTTCTGCTTTTCAATGTTCACAGGAAGAGCAGAAATGATGGTGCAATTTATGTCACAGCTCGAACAAATGAATCACTCAAAGAATAGGTGGGGCCGCATTATAGTGTTAAAGAAGCTCCTCTTAAATATAGAAAAGTTTATTTTGGCTGCCCCCTTCATCAGGGGTCACCACAGCGAGCAAAGTCACATGAAAGATTTGGCAAATGTTTTACACCATATGCCATTCCTGACACAACCTGGGCTTGAACCTGCAGCTTCAGGATTACAAGACTGCAGCACTGACCACCAAGCCACTGCTGCACCCTCCTCATAATTATTATTGAAACTATTTCTGTCTGCAGGATAATACAAACTAAATATTGCATTGACAATTTTGAGGAGGTGGTTGGGCAACATTTTTACCCTACCCAGACCAGTGGTCATTCCGTATGTTGAGGGAGTATCTGAGAAACTGAGATGTTTATTTTCTAAACACAACGTCCCTGTCATGAACCAGGGGTTTGGATTCAAAATAAGAATGACACAGGAGTGCAAAAATTAAGAACAGCTTTTATTAATAAGGCTGCTGGTAGCTGGAGTCGGGGTCCAAGAATTAATCCAAAAAGGATGATCCGTGAGCCGTGGTCATAGACAGAAGAGGAGGTTGTTACAGTGATCAGAGGGGCAGAGCAGAACCAGATGAGGAGCAGGCAAAAGAGTAAATCCACAAGACAAGGCGTGAGGTTGAAAATCCAAGTACAGGGCATGAACATCAAGCATGAACAAAAAGATGGCTGGATATCAGGGACCATGGAAGGTATAATAATTCGGCACCAGTGGAGAGTGAGCATGGAGAGCTGAACAGCTGCATGGAATGAAGGCTGATTGCTGTGCTTAGGCTGAGGGGGTGTGGTGAACTGTTGACTGACAGGAGCAGATGTGAGCAATGAAATTGGGTGATAAGCAAAACACAGTAGGGAAACAGAAACAATGGCATGAGGGGCAGAAGTGTGAGCAGATGAGGGGTCAGTGGGGGACCGCTGACCATTACAGTCCCAGTGGCTTTTAAACCCCAAAATACATTACGACAAAGACTGGTTCATCCCAAAGATCCAGTCCCCCGGCACAAACAGAGTAATAAATAATATTGTGTATGTTGTTCAGTGTCAGGAGGGCTGTGATCAGTCTTACATCAGGGAAACTAAACAGCCACTGGCCAAAAGGATGGACCAGCACAGAAGATCAACATCATCAGGCCAGGCCTCTGCGGTCTACACTCATCTCCAGGCCAGCGGTCACTCTTTCAGGGATGAAGATATTCACATCCTGGACAGAGAGGAACGATGAGAGAGGAGTAAAGGAGGCCATCTTTGTGAAAAGAAATCGTCCATCATTAAACAGGGGTGGAGGCCTCCGTGTTCAACTGTCCCCCTCTTACAATGCTGTGATTGCTAGTATCACTCAGCCCTCTGTGAACAGTAAACAGCCATCAGTGTGCTAACGATCCATCGTTAGGCTGATGGTCCTTCTTGATCATGTGAGCAGCTGGTTTTGGTTGTCAGCAGCAAACTGGTTGATCCGCTGCAAGAAGGTGCTATTTATAAGACTGAGCTGAATACAGCACCTCAGACTGAGGAAGTCTTTCAGATGAAAGACAAAATGTTTCTACATTTTTTTTTTGTTGTTGTTTGTTTTGTTTTTTGAATGTCTAGAGGATCAGGATAGGCCCTTCAAGGAATGTTAGAAAGAACCATAAATACAAAAACTTAAAAGCAAAAACAATAAAAATCTATAAATACAACACAAACACAAAATTATCTCATCATCATATATTTATATATTTTCAAAAAATATACACAAGGATGTAAGCTTTAAACTGCAACAAAATACAGTCATAACATTTCACAGTGGCACGACGTGCCGTATACAGGCAACCAGGCAGCACAACGGCTCAGTGGTTAGCACTGCTGCCTCACAGCAAGAAGCTCCTGGGTTCAATTCCCGGTTGGACCTGGGGTTTTTCTGTTTGGAGTTTGTATGTTCTCTCTGTGCTTGTGTGGGTTTTCTCTGGGTACTCCAGTTTCCTCCCACAAACCAAAAACATGCATGTTAGTCTGCCTTCAGGTCCAGGCCTCCTTTGCAAAAGAGATCTGTGATCTCAGTGGGATTTGCCTGGTTAAATAAAGGTCAATAACTGTGGTCTAGTTTATATGAACATATATTGAACATGTTTCAGTTATTCCTCGTCAGGTTGTTGGAGTCTCTGGCTCTGATTTCTGCTGTCCATTGAAATCTGCATGCTGGCTGTGTAAGAGCAGGCCTCCCCCCTTGAGAACTTCTTAAAGTGGTTCACGATAAATCTTCTAAACTTCCTTGTGGCAAAGAAATAAACGACAGGATCCAAAACGCAGTTGAGGCCCATGAGGACCCAAGTTATTTGATGTGCGTCGTTGAGCATTTGGCGGGTGTCCTGGTACCAGCCCACGTGGCCCAAGCCCTCTGTGATCTGCAGCACAGCCAGCACCCAGGGGCCTTGAACAATATGGTGAGGCAGAAAACACAAAACAAATACACCCACTACTGCCAAGAGCATCTGCAGAGCTCTCCGTTTCACCCCTCTAGGCCTTTTAGATGAAGATGACATGGTCCTGTTGGACTTTTTTGAAATGACTGTGTCCGAACGAAACTTGGTCTTTGGAGTGTGCTGAGAAAGTAAGGCTCGAGCAATGAGAAAGTTGCACACAACAACGAGAAAAAAGACAACAAAAAACAATGGGATTATTAGGAAATGAAAGATAGCCACTTTCCTCTTCTGGTAATCAGTGTCATTGTGGTAACCTTCAAAGCACAGAGTTTTGCCTGATGTTACGTTGATTCCTGGGGATGTCAGGTTTGGAATGGCCATCGACACGGTGAACAACCAGATAACAATGGACACGATGATCCCGCGGCGCCTGTGGTCCGAGGAGGCTGCGTCCAGAGGCCGAGTGACCGCCCAGTACCGGTTGAGGCTGATGGCTCCCAGGAAGAGGATGGTGCCGTAGGTGTTGATGAAAAACAGCGAGCCCGTCAGTAGGCACATGAAGTCTCTGAACACCCAGTCACCTCGACGGCTGTAATAACTGATCCAGAAGGGCAGGGTGCACACAAAGAGTAGGTCAGCAATGGTCAGGTTGGTCATGTAGATCCGTATTTCTCCCATGGCTTTCGCTTGTCGGAGACACCGCAGGACAAACAGTACATAGACGTTGGCAATGAAGCCCACGAGGAAGAAGATGCTGTAGGCAACGGGGAAGAGGATGTAGCGAAACTCAGAGTCCAGAAATTCAGTGTAGTTCCCAGCAGGGACTCCTGTCACAACAGGATGCTCAGATTTCTCCATTATTTGTCTAAAGGAGACAAGAAGAACAATAATTAGTATGATATCCAACCACAACATAAAGGTTCACATTTAAAGAAAAGCCAAGAGTTTAGATCAGGATGTGAAAGTCTGATGAGTAAGTTATGTCGGTCACCAGGAAGTCTTTGCAGAGTTTCTTACAAAACACTTTTCCGGTCGCTAACTCGGTGTCACACCAAAACAACCACAAGGAAAAGATGAAAGGTAATCAGATCTACTGAAATCTTAGTGCTGGGACAGAGAAGCAGTGGTACAACGTACGTATTTATGGCCTGCCGTTTGTAAAGTTACACAGTCAAAAACGAACATCAATATTTTGGTTTATTTAGCTTTTAATAAGAAAAAAAATCTTTTTTTTTTTTTATAATAATTTCACCATGTTATTCATACATGTCATAGTTCCAAACTAAATATTTAATTTCCAAGATAAATATTAATTTTCAAAACTAAAGATTTAATTTCTAACACGTTTAATTTCCAAAATAAACATTTCATTTGCTAACTAAATATTTAACTCTCACTTAAATATTTAACTTGTAAGCTAAATATTTAGGTCCAAGTTAAATATTTAGTTAGCAAATTAAATATTTAGTTTACTAACTAAATATTTAACTTAGTTTGTAAATTAAATATTTAGCTTGTAAATTAAACATTTAGTTGGGAACTGTGACATTTATAAATGTATGAATAACATGGTGAAAATATGACTTTGAGTAAAACAAAACAACTATTGATTTTCTTATTAAAGGCTAAATAAACCAAAATATTGATGTTAATTTTTGACTGTGTAACTTTACAAATGGCACCTCATACATATTGTATTGGTGTCATTAAAACAGAGGATGTTAAAACATAATTTCTTTATAATGAGTTTAATGCTGCAGGACAAGAAAACAACTCGTGTCTCCTGTCTCCTTTTTCACTACTTAGCATTTATTTAGAAATATTTTTTATGATTGGACCTTCACTTTTTATTTTGTCTTCTCTTCCCATTCCCCCTCCATCCACAAACTTTTTTCCTTCTGTATTATTTAATAAATCATATCTTGTGACATGTCTTCATATGACGTGTCAGAGTGGACAAACGTCCACCTGTTGCCAGAACTAGCAGCATATGGGTTTAGTTTTTCCGTCTGACTAGGCACAACACGAATTAGGTTTAGTGCTCTGTTTGTGGTTTGACATATTTTATTGCTTTTACCTACAAGTTTACTGGAAGTGAACGTCAGCAGAAAGGTGTTAGATTCAGAGGGTACAGGTGCCGACTTGAACCTGCTGCGTTCGCTTCTCTCTGGATGAGACGCCACACGTTCATGACAGTAACAGAGTGCTGCGGTTGATTCTATATTTAGACTCATGGGTGTTAAATGCTGAATTCAAAGAGACATCGAGAAGAAAACACAGAAGGAGTGCAGCTCTCAGTGTCAACTGATGCTCACGTGTAATGGATCATGCTTTAATGTTCTAATGACATGTGACATCATCAATTGTATGGCCTGCTGCAAAACCCTCAACCTTACAGCAAATAATTTTTGTTTTTATTATTTTTTTTATTTTATTTAGGCTGCTCCCTTCTTCAGGGGTCTTCACAGCAAAATGTCACACAAAGACTTGGCAATTGTTTTTACACCAGATGTTCTTCCTGACACAACCACAGACCACCGAGCTACCACAGCTTCTGTGTGGAGCAGAGAGCTGACATCTTGGGCATCCAGGGGAGCAGGTGGTGGCGATTAAGGGCCTTTCTCAAGGGTCCAGAGTGGGGCAATGAGGGTGGAGGCAGGTGTGGGTGCTTCACCTATCCCACCCACATTTTGATGTTGTCAATACCGGGAGTTGAACCAGCGATCTTCCGATCATGCCCAACTTTAACCTCTGCGCCACCACTCCCTTACATAAAGATCTGGTAGATGTTTTCACCTTTAACTGATATCCTTCCTGACACAACCACTGAGCTACCACAGCCCCCTCTGTGGTGCAGAGGGCTGCCATCTGGGGTGCCCGGGGGAGCAGATGGTGGGGGTTAAGGGCCTTGCTCAAGGGCCCATGAGTGCAGCAAATGAGGGTGGAGGCAGATTCGGATGCTTCACCTTTCCCAGCCAATTTTTGTGCTTTTGCAGGCAGGGGGACTTGAACCAGCAATCTTCCGATCACCTCTCTAACCTCTGCATCACCACTCCTCCAAAATAATAATCTCAGTGTTAATCCTGATTTATTCTTATCACCGATCTTCATCATCCACCAAACAAAGAAGACGATTTGGAGTTGAAAGTTTCCTTAAAATAAAATTTTAAATAATTCTCAGTTTTCTTACAATTTAAGTCAGTTCATTTCTTTATTTCAGCCCAGTTTGGATTCTGAACAATATATATATAAAATACCTATGTTTTGTTTGTTTTGTTTGTTTGTTTGTTTGTTTTTTTTTGGGGGGGGGGGGCTCAGGTTTGCTGAATGTCAGAAAATCAGATACATTTCATAACTGATTTTTTATTTCAAGAGCAAATTATTTCAGATTTTTAGTTTTGTTTGAGGTTTCCAGCAGTCGTGTGTGACGTCAGACCAGATATCAAACAAACTGTTTGTGTGGATTTTAATTACATCAGATATGTCGAGCAGAACCATCTCAGGAATGAGATGTATTCCATAAACAAACTCGTTTCTGGGATTTTCTGCTCAACATTTCAACACAAGATGATTCAGTTTCAGTTTAAACTCCTCCAGAGAAAAGTCTCTCATTCTTTCTGCAACAACTAATATTGTCTTCCTCTTTTTAATTTGTTAGTTTTCTCTGGCTGTCCATGTTTTTATCACTAATGATTCACTTAGAATATTTAATTATCCTGACAACCTTTTGTAAAGTTGTTTCAGAATTTAACAAACAAACAAAAAAAAGAATTTAACAAACAAGACGAGCTCTTTTAGATTTATTCAACTTGAAAAACTGTCAACAAGTAACATTTATTAATTTTATTGTGCTAAGCTGGACACAAAAAGATGCATGCACTATTTCAGTAGAAGAGGTCATGAATGTGACACCCTGGTGGGGGGAATGTGTTTATAACTTTACTTTTTATTTATTCAGAGCTTTTTGTTGGGTTTAGCTTCTTGGTCCAGATTTTGGTTCCTATTTTTTAACATGTCGGAGTTACAACTCTTCTGAAAACAACATTAAAGGTGATGTGGGTGTGAAACTAACCTCCACACATATAACATTCTTTCAGTGTTAATATGCAACAATAAAAAAAGAAATTCAGAGCCATTTTATAAATAAAAACCAATAAAAAAAATCCACCTTTTTAGCTGCTTTTTAACTGTTGATCTTAAAATTGGACTTTCATAATCTTTAGATATTTATTTTTTACACATTTTCAACAATTTTGTTCAAAACATGATAATTGGAAAACAATTTAAATAAAATGCCACCTGTGAATTGTTAAAGGGTTTTAATAAACAGCACTTCATTAACACAGGACGAAGCATTTTACTAGCATTATTTTTGTTGTATGATTAATCAGCTGTTAAAAGTAAAATAATTATAGTGAAAAGGAGAACAAAGGACGTCTAATTCCATCTAAAAAAAATGTATTTTTATTTTTGACAATAATTGGTAAAAACTGCACCCAGTATCAAGAAATGCATTTATTTTTTCCAACACACAAGCATATATATTATACACTTTTGTACCAGACTCTTAATTCAATATCTAATCTAATTACCTGCTAATGATTGTAGCTATCTCAGTGAAATCTCTTTATTTGATTTTATTTTCATGAAACGTTACAAAAAGATGAAGAACTTACCCTTAGTTTTACGTTTTCCTGTTTCTCAATAACAGTTTGGACTCTGCATGCAGCGTGCGGCTCCTTTAAACCCAGTCTGACTGCATGTGTGAGAGTGTGTGAGCCTTCACAGGAGGAAATGAAGGAGGCGTCGAGGAGGAGCAAGAAAGCCCTACATGATGCAAGATGCAGAGTCACCTCCACATTCTCACATGTTTGCTCGTGTCTTCCACCACTTTGTCGCAACTCGGGGATTTTTCCACATGGCTTTTATTTCTCGGTTCCTAGAAGATATAAATTTATTGAACTGGGAAAGGAGGCTAACATGAACAAAGAAACAAATAAAGAAATAAAACTTGAGGAACTAGAACAACAGATTGTGTCAATGGATAATGACCTTAATTCAATTCAAAAATACTTTATTAATCCCAGAGGGAAATTATATGTTGTGGTAACTCATCATTCTGGTTTCATTAAAGAGTTGTTCTAGATGCTGATGGCTGTGGGCAGGAAGGATCTCTTGTCTGTCCTACAACGGATTTGAAGAAGCCTCTGACTGAAGACACTCTGTTGTTGTATGACAGTCTGATGAAGAGGATGCTGAGGGTTGTCTATAATGTTCTTCATTTTATGAAGAATCCTTCTTTGTACAATCATCTCCAAAGGTTCTAGAGGAGTTCCCAGAACTGAGCCAGCCTTCTTTATGAGCTTGTTGATCTTTTTAAGTCACTTGCTCTGGTGCTGCTACCCCAGCAGATGATGGCAGAAGAGATAGCGCTCTCTACAACAGACTTATAGAAGATATGCATCATTTTGCTGCAAACACTGAAGGACTTCAACTTCCTCAAGAAGTACAGCCTGCTCTGTTCCTTCTTGTAGATGCTTCACTGTTGCATTTCCAGTCCAGTCTGTTGTCCAGGTGAACTCCAAGGTATTTATACTTCTCCACATCCTCCACTTCTTCTCCCATGATGGAAATAGGGTTGGACCTGTTCCTGATTCTCCTGAAATCTAAAATCATCTCCTTAGTTTTGTTCACATTCAAGATGAGATGATTATTTCCACACCATGTCACAAAGTGGTCCACCAGTTCCCTGTACTCAGCTTCTTGTCCATCTCTGATACACCCGACCACTGCAGAGTCATCTGAATAGTTCTGCAGATGACAAGAGTCTGTTTTGTACTGGAAATCTGAGGTGTACA